CTACCTGCCTATCTACCTATCTATCTGTACGACTGGCAACCCAGCAAGAGCAAGGACTTCAACCGGGACCAGGTTCGTGGGATCCCATGTGCCTCGTGCCTTGGACAGTGCAGCTTACATAACCGCATCGTATGCCATGCACAGACCCTCATCCCAACTCTCGAAGGACGAGGCACTCCCACAGTGCCGATGTCCGGGTTCAGCCGCTGGAGACTTGTCAGGAAGCCCATGAAGCACAGCTCTTGCAGCAGGAGCAAGATGAGGACGGCCGACAGACCGCTGCCGAACCTCGAAGACAAAGGCTGCAAGAAGTCCGAACATGGGCTTTGCGAGACGTGTTACTTCCTCGCCCTAGAGGGGGTTGAGTGCTGGGTCGTGTGGAATCTCAGTTCGGAAAGCCGCAACGACAAGCCTGGTGAGTTGAAATACAGACACGCAAAGCTTCCAGCAGAGTTTCAACACGGCAGCAGCAATACATGCAGAGCACAACAACGGAAGTTATGGCTCGTAAGGCCGTAAGACTGTGTAGACTTTGAACGCAGAAACTGCACCTTCGGTAGGCGTGACACAACGCAGCTTTCCAAAAGCAGTCCAGCAAACAAGTAAAGCACGGGGCGCAAAACCGTTAGCCTTTAAACCAACCAATCAACAAATGTGCACGGAAACGCAAATCGCGTACTCCTCACCACCCCACCCCCTCACGATCTATATACTTTCAAGGCTTTTTGTTTGTTTCTTCTCCCCAACAAACGCTAGGCAAACGATTTTTGAAGACCGCACTACAGCACACGAACATTCCAAGCACCAAAAATCAGACTGGCCCTGTGGAAGCAGAAGAGTTCAGAACTTTGAGATTTTGAAAGGACTGAAGTTTCGGAGCTCGGACACAGGGATAGGTTCTGAAAGGCTGGCTGCACAGAAGGATAAGCTGCCTTGAAGGTATGGGGGGCGAGTGTTGATCAGGATGCAAAGCTTGAGAGTCAATGACGGTATGTCAACTTCGGCAACAACTTTGGTGTACGGTTTCAGGTCGGCCACCCCGCTGTCACCCGCATGGTCAGCAGATTCGAAAATCGATCGTCACGGCCCCTCTGGAGGCTCTCAAACTTTCTGCCGACAGTCCCGACGACACCCACGATGCTCCGAAACACAGATCCTCGAGATCGTTCCTGATAACGATAAGAAGCCCGTTCATGCATGGTGTTTCTGTCAAAAAACTCAAAGTAAGTCTCAAGATCCGCCAAGATGCATGATTGGCAGCACAACAAGATACGCGAATGTGTGAGCGATGGCGAAGAAGAAACGATGGTCGGGCAGGTCCTTAACCAGGGATTTCTGAGGGACGGCTTCGCAAAGTGACTTCAGCATCGAAGTTCATGTTGGGGTTTCCAAAATGCCAGGTTTGGGGAGTTGGACCTCTGGCGCCGAGATTCGTTTCCGAGGGCTCCGATGTAGCTTGGATGCAGGAATCCCGGCACAAACCCCCAGGCGGTTGCACCTGAAGTCGCTCCGTTGTCTCTGTGCACCACTACCCCAGCGTCATGCCTTCGGATGCCTTCGGCCTAGCCTCCACGCATCCAAGCAGACCCTTTCGAGCGCACATGTGCGCATGTCTAGTTTGTTTCGCAACGTGATACTGAATCTTCGCTCGCAGACTTGTGCACACCGGCCCCTTGCACCTGACATCAGCAGCGCCAGGATCCACACCACTGCGGAGAGGACCTTCGTCCGGAAACGAAGGTTCTCCGCCTGGGCCTTGCCGCAATCGATATGGTTCTCCAGCAAGTCCAGGATGATGTCCGAGCGCAAAACTGAAAGAACCACCTGAGCAACTTCTCAGCGGTTTGGCGACTCCAATTCAACTCTACGTGCATGTACGTACATGCTGATCCTCATTGAGCCCAGCTAGCCGAAGTATGCAGTCATATAGCGACCCTCAGAGCGACAATGCCGCCGATGCGAACAGAGCTCGCCTGCAGGAACAGGAAGACAATCAGATGGGCCACGGTGTTTTGCAGCAATGTCCAGGAATCCAGCCAGGTCGGACCAGTTTGATGGAGAAAGAGGCTCAAGCAAAGACCTTCGCAGCGGAAACACGAACAGAAGGAACCTCAACATCGGCGCGCCTAGTAGGTAGCAGGTATATGATCGAGTTGTATGACCTTCGTAGACTCACATAGGGTTGCACAAACTGTACACGATGAGATGCGGGGCTCCAATCATCTCGTTCGTTGATCTAACTAAAAGAGCAGCCTCCGCAAGCCAACACCAGGAAGGTTACAGAGATGGCCCAGCACCGGACGACTGCACCAGCACCTCCAGCTCTACTGCACTTTGTCTGGAGGGTGGGGAGGGAGCTTGGGTTTACAAGGGGAATCAGGCGATCGTAATCAAGAAGCTTCAACTACTAATTTGTGCAGCAAAAGAACCCCGAAAATATGACATCGAGGAAATCCTCAAGGTACTTGGGCGTTTCCCGGCAGAAGTGATGCAGCTACGGTCTTGAAAGAGCCCCAAGACAAGGACCCTTACAAATGCAGTTTGACCTTTGGGCGCAATCCGGCAATGCCTCTGCTCTTCGAAACTTTGCTGTCGAAATGCAAGGTAGGCCGTACGCGAAAACAGCTCAAGCCGAGCCCACAGAACGCCCCCACGACTCAGCTCATTGAGGTTGTACGGGGTCAGGGCTTCTCACTTGTTTGATGGACTTCTATTTCTGAAGTTTTCTCTTTTGTTGCCCGCTCGTTGCGTCGCCGAGAGGCCGGGCAAGGCGACGCCCCAGACGCTGGTGAAGACTACGAAGCTCCTGTAGAGAAACAAGCAAAGGGGCTTCGAAGGACTTACACGGAAAGAAGAAAAAAAAAGTGCCGAGCTTCCTTCGTTTCTGCACGTGCTACATTAAGCTTTACCTGCAGTCACCTTTAGCTGGCTGCAGGATGCATCATGCCGGCTATCAGCTCTCACAAGAAACTTTGCCAAAGGCAGTGCGAGGCTCTGGGATGAAACTTTATTTTCGAAAGAGTGCGGTGGTGGGCGTTCTAAAGGCATGGGTTAGAATTGCCGGTGGCTAAACCAGGTTCGAGCAACTGTCTTGTACTTCCAGCAGGAGGACTCGATTCTATTCGGGAGATTCGTGCAGAAGGCATGGACGCCGAGACTTCCTATCCAAATGCTTCAAATCTCAGCGTGCTCAGAGTCAGAACCATGAGTACAGAAGTGGGGCCCTATAGCATCTGAAGCTTCATGTGGAAGCTACGCGCGAAGTCTCTGTGATGGCAGCTTGTTGGGTCCCTTGACAGCCGGTGGGTGCTTGAAGGTACAGTTCCGGGTGATGTGGATTGATGCTCGCGCATACGCACACGGTAGCTCAAGATACTGCATGGTCCACTGCATGGTGTTGAATATCCTTCTCAATCGCATATTGTGCTAAAGCGGTTGGAGCAGAAAAGCGAATAAGGACCCAGGTGCTGGTCGATCACTTGCACAGCCCGCTCTTCCGACGAGGCCAAACTCACCAGTTCATCCTTTGGACACTCGCCGATCTAAGGGCAATTTCGGTTAGGGAGTGCTGCTGCCGGCCGATGAAATTCCTATGGTTCGCTGGCCCCCAAAACAAGTTGGCTCTCTCTCCTCACTGAAGAAGTCTCGAGAAAAATCTGACCCCCTCAGGGTCCAATTATGTAGCAGTGGTGCTCATAAGAATGGTGGTAGTAGTAGTGGAACAAGTCGTAGTCGTAGTAGTCGTAGTAGTCGTAGTAGTCGTAGTAGTCGTAGTAGTCGTAGTAGTCGTAGTAGTCGTAGTAGTCGTAGTAGTCGTAGTGGTCGTAGTAGTCGTAGTAGTCGTAGTAGCGTA